TAAGGAAGGTGATTACCAGTAGTTAAGAATGTTACAACTCTTCTACCCAGATTCAATTCTTAGCAAATCAGAATGAACATTAACTTGATTGCCCTGATGATTCAGTACAGGAAACTTTGCCTAAATAAAATAAAAACCGTAAGCTTTGTTTTTAGCTTTTAGGAACTTAAAAAGGACGGAGAGAGTCTTGTATCGTTTACAAGTGTAATTCCAACTTGAACCAATTTTGTAGCTGGTAAGATTATGTAAACTCTTGGCAAGTCTGTAGATCTAATAGTATTTCTAATCTGGCACACCTGTTTTGACTTTTGTAATTTTTGCCAGCTGTGTTTTTCTCTTGGGACCCTGGTGAAGGATGCCTTGTTGAGTGACAAACGCACGCTCTCTCCTTGAATACCTCTGCCACATGCAGGCCCCTGACAGTTGTGCTTACACCTAGTACCTACTTCCCTCCAAAGATTTCTCATAACCCTACGCTCCCCAAATCTCGAAAACAGACCTGTGAAGACACTAGGTGTATACCTACTGATCACTGCTTTAGTCTTCTGTGTACTAGAGAGAACTGGCCCCCCAAAAAAGTGGTCAGAAAAAGCATGTTTCACCTGGAATAGGATCTCACTGCAAATGAACAGTGGTTGTGAGGTATATGTCATTTCAATTCACATTACTTTATGTTTGGGGGAAGGGGTGGGACAAGAGAGGAGGGGGGGTACGGCAGTGCTGCTAAGCGCATTTCACTTCCTAAGCACATTTTCTCCTGTAGGCCTACACTTTAATTCCAAAATACCCTTTGACAACAAAAAGCCTGTTCCTTTTCTCCCTTTTTTCCCCTTCTGGATAGGTGTTTCCAAAGGACTAGAATGCCATCACTGCTAATCTGCCCCTCACTTGTTCCACAACGCTGCACATGAATCCATCTCCACAACAGTCAATCTTTTCTGTAACGGGTACTGTTCTCTTGAAGGTCCTGGTCGTTTGTTTTTTTTTTTCCCCTGTTGTATGGCCCCTATTGTAACTTGTGTCAAAATTCTCCATGTACGGCCCCTTGTTACGCGTGGGGAAAATTTCTGATGCTCCAACATTCACCACAAAAAGGCTGTACTGCTAGACTACCCGTGCAATAAATGCACTCGGGGTTGTGACGATGGAATGAACCGACTGCGACTTGATGGGTTGAGGAGAATAGAACACGGAGAGCCACAGCTATTAGCTATGATTGAAAGACGATGTGTAGCACCAGTTAATGACCCACAGCATGCAGGACAGGGGAGATTTAATGAGGCATAACAAGGAAAAAGTCAAAGTGGATTTGCAAGCCCCAAAATGAATGTAACAAAAAAATGAAGCGAACAAATCCACCATTAAAATGTCTGCTAAAATGATAGGGAGATTTGCTGTATGGTCGCTTAACATTTTATGAGCCAAAGAGGCAATTTGGCAACTAATTGGTCTGGGAGAGGATACAAGAGGATGGCTTATTGCAAAGATCGCTGGACTGTGGATGAGCAGTAAAGCAGAGATACATTTTGCTACCAGAATCGGTCACAACTTTGTGTTCCCTCAGCACAAAAAGCCCAAAGGAATTTAACAACCAATCCACATTAACAACAAATAAGAATCTAACCCCAACCTAAGAACCACAACCAATGCTCACAGACATTTAATTGGCATGCCGATCAGGATTTCCCTGGCCAATTCGGTAATTACCAGGGGGAGTAAGACGCCTTGCTGCAATGGCCACATTCTCCTCCAGCCCAAGCTAACAGTACAGACCTCGGCTGAGCCAGCCTAGCTGGTGCCAGAGTGGCTGGAGAGGCATGGCCCGGCCAAAGACAGTGGAGCCACAGTGGTGAGGCCTGGGTGTACATGTACATTGGTTTGTGCAAAAGCTTTTACCAGGCATTCACTGCCTTATGCTAATGTCCAGAGCTCTTCTGGTCAGTTAGGCTGTGGGCCATCAGCGAAGCCACAGAAGAGAGGGGGGGGGATCTTGGGTCACTATTCTATTGCTGTTCCACTTCTGAGAATCATTCCTCCCAGGACGAAGACAGAATAAAAGGGGGAAAAGATCATTTGACCATGATTTGACATACCTCATACATGCAGAGATGCTGATCTTCACTATGTATTTTTTCTTTTAACGTCAGCATTCCGAGAGGTTTCCCACACCATTTACTGAGAATCCCAGCCTTCATTCAATTTCACTGAATTGGAAAGGTCATTTCAAACCAAGCCATTCTTATTCAGGTTTGTTGAACTGCACACAAAATACAGCATGTTACAGAGTTCCATGGATGATAAGGAATAAAAACAGAATAACATCCAGTTTAAGGATATCTAAAATTACTTCACAACAGCCAATTTTAGTTTGAGGCTAAACAAACCTTTGACAAGTGAAGCATACCCCACCGGTGCCTCGTTTGATATTCTTCAGTGAGATGCAACCACAAATTACCTTACATTTGTCACCTTCAAGATGTGCCTAATAAAAACTTAAGCCAATAATTTTAATTAATTGCAGGAAAAACATTTCAAGCCCTGTACAACTAATCCACACCTCTGACTGACTTATTCCCCCCCCCAAAAAAAAATATGGCATGAGTGGGTGGGTGACAGCAAGTGCTCGCCCACAGTGCGGCAGTGCAGAGGCACATCTCCAATTCTAATCATCCCCCCCCAAGCGTCTTCTTGGGGCAGCTTTGATACTCCCGAGGGGGTTGGTGAGGGATACATTGCCAGGAGGTAATGACCACAGGGGGATCAGCCTTGCAAATGAGTTGATGGCATATAGGTGTGAGGGAGGTAGGCCCACAGGAATGCACAAATGCCTGATTGCTGGCAATATTTCACCAGGCCAAGTGGCAATGGGGGGAAAAACGCCAGCAGCAACATAAGCAGTTCAACTTTGAAACAATTTCCACCAGTTATCAATGCAAACCATTCAGAATTCACTCCACTGCAATTTTCAGCCCGCTTCGATGTGTTACAAAGGTGAAACAATCAATATCAACCTACTTGAAAGAAAATCAGAACACACTGATCACTGGCCTACACAGGAAGCATGACGTAAACTGGATCCATTTCAAGAACAGTCATGGCGCCAGCTAATACCAACAAATACCATGAACAGAGACCATTGTCTCTGCAGCTTAATCCCCACATTGGCCAGAGCAAAAGGAGACAAGTCAATGTGCCTGGTTCTTGTAATACAGATTAGGGCCCAGGGATTTGGGATTTAGACCGCCTTCAGAAGAACTAATGACTTCAGCACACTTTTTTATGTCCACACAGCAACAGACAAAGTTGGACAAATCCTTTCCTGACAATAAACAGTCTTTGGGAAGCTTTTATTTACTCACCCGCCCTAATGGAACATAAAGATAAGACATCAATTACCAAAGAACTAAATAGAAGCCTTGCTCAATCATTGCATTGACGCACACTCGTGAAATAGTTTAACATTTACAATGCATGAGGTATGTTATTGTGTGCAAGAACTTTTTTACAGAACCATATTTTATGAGTTCACTTAGTCCAAGGACAAAACAACTATTAGCTTTTTCCATCACTCCATTCCAATATTTCCAATTAACAACTGTAACACTTAGGTTTTTTCACGTTCATAACTTTTCTGCTATTGGAAATTTCTCAGTAAAAAAAGAAACTTTAAAATTTGAAACCTAAATTTGTTTGTTCTTTAGTAAGTTTGCAGTAGTGATATTTAATATTTATGGCTTGGTTGAGCCGAGTCTTTGTTTAGTTTGAGTTAAAGAAATTTAACATTGACTTTAAGAATGTCTGTGAAATCCCACGCCATGTTCACCGAAATACGACTTCCAAAGACTGCTTTCAATATAAAAACATCAGCATAAATCATCTTTGGGCAGGAAGAACTCTTTCAGGTAACTGAAAAACAAGTAGTCATGTCCAACATCTGACTTCGACCGTACCCAACTCTTCCAACTTTTAACCTGAGCTGCACATTTACGCAGTGAATCTTTGAGTCGATTAATCATAGGCGAGGACATTACTACTATTGCACAGGCATGAACTCATATACAATGTATTCAACTTGTATGACAGCACTTCCTTCAGAAAGTAACAAATTAGTACAAATGTTTAGAAATTAATCATGGGCTGATTCATGATCAGACTAGAGATGTTGACACTGTGTTAGTTCGACACTAAAACAGATTTGAATGATGCCTTTCAATGCTACTGGACGATCAGGATATCCATGACGGCCAGGATTGCAATGGCATGACCATTTAATACATTTGGAAATTCAACATTTTGAAAGAACAAGCACCTTCTTATCTTAATACCTTTAATTGTGAAAAGTTCTTTCCTTCCAATTTCAGAAACGTATTCCAGTCCTGTTAGATTAGGGTATAGTAAATGGACATGATGGATTTTGGAATGGATGATTACGGGGGAGGGGGAAAGTTAACAGGGGTTTGAACTGTTTCACGAACCTGCATCTGCGTAGGGTTGATGCCGCTGACTTGGTGTATTTCCTGTTTCGGTGCTTTCGCCAAAATCCACAGTGGAGCCAGTCGTAGAGATGGAGGCCTGGGTGAAACGACTCTGGCTGAGGCTGGCGGCTGAAAGGTGGAGGCAAGGAATGAGGGAAAATAAAAACCATCTGTTATTGTCCAGCATAAAAGGTGGAAGTAATTACCAGCCTTCTATTGCAAATACTGTGCTCACTGTCAGTTGCCAGGACTTGGCTCTGAAACGCATGGGAGCCACTTGCTGAACTTTGCAGCATGAACGGTGCCAGTGAGGATTAGCAGCTACTGTGGGAGGCCAATTAAGAGTAGCTTTTCCATTCTTTAAGAAAAGACATGCTTTTACAGCTCCTACATAATGGCAGGTGTTGAGATTTGAGATGCCATGTTGAATAGATGGTTTAGCAGTCACTCATGAATATGCAGGACAAAATGTTGACTGACTTCAGCCAAGAAAAAGAAACTTGGATTATAAGTAATTTTCATTGTGCTTTAAATGCTTTAATAATTCTGATAAAAAATCAACTCCAGCACAGTTTCCCTTAATATTGTTATTCTTAAGGTTCATATTAATTTTGTACACAATTTCGCTCCAATAGTTTCATTTTTTTTGGTTTAAATGCCTGTGGGTCAAACCCAATGTAACACCAACCTTCCGTTTTGGACCTCTCGACCGGAAATCTACTGTATGGAGGTGGCGGCGATTCTACAATGCAACACACAAAAAAAAAAACACAGGAGAGAGAAAACGTAAGAAATTCCTACTAACACTGTGTCTGTGTGTGTGGAGGTCAGCATTATGAGAAGACAGAAAGGGGAGAAAAAAAATGCTGGAGCATCCCCGCTGTGCACGAATAGACAAGCCAGGCCTGGCAGCGCTGTTAATTGAGGCGAAAGACTCCGGCTTGATCGGCACATAAATAACCGCGGCGCCATGTTGGTAAATCGAATGCGTGACTCAATAGCGAGCCCTGCAGCCAAGCCAGCCAGCTCGAGCGAGCCACCCAGGCGGGGCCCGCTATGGCGCGCGCCAAGGCATGCTTGCCTAGCCTCGCCTCACCAATGCATTTATAAATTCACAATTAAAATCGCTTGCATGTTTATACTTTTCCAGGTTAAGTCATCCACGGACAGTGGAAGGAAACTCCAACAGTGGAATGCAAAAATCATACACAATTTACAATCGATTCGAAATTCTAACATGAATGCTTGAAATTTCTATAGGCGTCTCTCAGCGCTGCGGACCGATCAATCATTGGCATGGAACTTCAATGATTAAAAACGTCTAGAAAAATCCCTCTGTAAAAGATGTCAGACATAGAAGACATTCCCATTCTATAACAACATGGTGAACGTGTCGAATTCTTTGATCTTCAGTGAAACATGTGAAAGATATGTGAAAGAAAAATCGGTTAAAAAGTGGGTGCGATGCGGCACATGGAAGTTTAGCGACTTCTTACGTGCACGTGCCGGCTGTCAGGTCATTTTTCCTCAACTGGCTGTAGTGTTCATTTTCTCGTTCGTGAATCTGCAAAAATTTGTCCGAATTTTTTCCTTCTTACCTGGCTGACACAAACGGCTGAGATGATAAGGGTTGCAGCATACATTTCCTGAGCTAAGGTCTTCCAAATCCCGGTCGGATTGACAGCAGAAATGAAGTCTCTTGAGTTCGGCAGCATGTTTGAGATCAGGCCAGCGGTAGAGCTGACAGCACAACACGTGCGGCAGCGTGGTCCGTCCCCTCCCCAGCCGTATCTCCCCCTTGGGTAGGGGGACACAGGCGGTGGTAGTGGTTCCACGGCTTTCCACGGCATCGAGCAACAGCTCAAGTTGCCGGTCCTTGAGTCGTTTCAGGAGGCTGTGGGCGGCTGATTTGAACTCGGAGTCGATCTCCGAGTCGCGGTCGAATCCCTGACTATCGGGGCCTTGTTCGCCGGTGGGGCAAGCACCACCACCACGGCTCCTCCAGAGTCGCCGGATAAGTACCGTGCGCTTGGACTTGAACATGCGACATAGGATTGGAGCACACGGTCATAGCCCACGGAGTCTCTCAATGACCATTCCATACGCTGGACCCCTCAAAGCAAGTTAAATCCACTCCGATCTCGCGGCATTCAAGGTAGGTAGAATCATGCAGCAGCAAGGGGCTGGCATGAACGCACCGGCCCTGCTCGGTTGAGTGGTGGTTGATGAGGGCCTTGCTGTACGGCAATCCAGCTCTTAACACAGTATCTCTTTCCACACACCATTCGTTATCTCGGTAATGAATGCTCACCCAGCGTGCCTGGCTAAGCCTTATGTGTAGGTTCACCCCCGCGGTCAGATCGCGTCGTCATACGGTTGGGCCACAGTCAGTGCGTTGGCCTACTCCGCGGCAAGGTGACGCCAGCACAGCGCCTCGCATCCACAACCCGATTACGTACACTTCCGCAGCACCAATGCGAGGACAAATCCCACTGGTACATGCATCAGGCTATCCTGGATCGTCCACAGTCACGATCTCCAACTTACAACTTCCATGCAGAGGAAAAAAGATCAAGAATCACAACACTAGGCACGATAATAACACGCGCACATGTGACCCAAACCATGTACAACGTACATCTGAAGAAAATGTACACGAGAATTTTTCTTACTACACTGAATTATGAGCTCACAGCTACGCGCGCTCTGATTGGCTAGCTTTGGTCACGGGACGTCTAGACATTTTGGCGCGGCTCGAGTCTGAAATGATTGTTGAGCAAATAACATGGCGCTGTCCCAAAGATCGCAGCTACTCCCTCCGGTGAGGCATAGGGACCGCCTTCAATCATGCCGAACGTAGTCACACACGCTGTGCCAGCATCAATGCAGCGAAATTAAATAAAGGTGACAAACTTGATCTTGCAAAAATGGCATGAACAAAAAACAAAACAAAATAAAATACGAACAAACCTACGCGGTTATTGACCTTTTGTCTGGAGTGAAACAGTGTCCGGATTGCACGTTCGAGCATGTACCAAATGATGTAGGCCCTAGTGACACTCCCGGTTAAAATTAATACAAAAGATTTGTTTTCATAAATGTCACGAGAATTAAAACTTTCAATTCTCGTGACATTTATGAATCTTTATCTTGACTTTATTGCCATTTACTTCATAATTGAAATCGACATGGACGTGTAAATTCATCGTATGACAAAACAATCAAGGAAAACACTGACACCACCATGGCCGAACCAAAAGAATTAAAGCTTGTGACTAAACCATTAGACATTCTTCATAGACATATGACTAGGGGTATCATAATACATAGTTCATGACGTCGAAATTATCATTTTTTTCAAGCCATTTTAAAAAGGTTCTTCTAAAAGGTTCTTCTAAAGGTTCTTCTAAAATCTAGTCATTTACTTAGGTCCACCATGAAAGATTCCTCTAATCTATGGGCCCGCAGCTACAAACTCCACCCCAAAACTCGGAGGTCTTGCCTTGCATGCATTTCGCTAGAACGCGATAACGAAGTTGACGCGAGGAACGTGAATGAAATCCCGCGATCATGAGTGCAATTATCAAAGTCATACATTAACGTCGATCGCTTCATGAATCTATGGCCATATCTCACGTGCATGGGCGGGGCTAGAGGTCGCTGGGAGAAAGCATGTCACATTGTCATTAAACAAACCACAAATATCGAAATCAGGTTTCATTTTTGAAAACTCTTTGTATCTGCACTTTCAAATAGAAACAAGACCTTGGAATGCAGGATTCACCACTGCACACAGAAAGCCCGAAGGCGTAGTCTTCAAACCACCCAGGTATAGGTGGTGTACTTTTCAACACTGTACAAAAAAAGAACAGCGTCATATGATTTAAAAGAATTAGCAGTGATCAACATTACGAGAGAAAGATGATCATGCATAGCCCCTTTAAAATCTTCGCATAAATGCGGCGCGTCAGGGAGGCACCGTTAGCGAGGCAGCAGCGACGCACTTCGGCCCCACGGGCAAAACGGTTCTTCGGAGGTGTTTCCGGAACTCCGACACGTCCGTGCATTTTTGGGGGCTAATTTACGTATTACTATGGTATTAATATTACCCACGCGTTGTTGTCCCCTTTCAGAGAGGAGATCTGCGAGTCCTTGTTTTCGTCTTTAGGCCAAAGGGCCAGGTTTAAGGAGAAAGAAAAAAATAAAAAGAGAAACTTTCTTCATCTCCCCAGGCCGACCGACTCACTTGAGAATACCAAGAAATTGTCTAGATGGCTCGTCTGCCAGTCTGACCCTACAAGAAGGCTACCTCTAAGTGATCAAAAGTTAAGACCTGGAATTTGAAAAGGCTGTATAAATGTTAAGACTTTAAAAGCCGTGTGTTTAATCCTGTTACCACGCACTGAAGTGGTGCACTTTTAATGAGTAGGCCCACATGTTTGCAGCGTATCATTGAGTTCCAAGTGATATACGACCTTTGTTGTAAGGGATCAAAAACTAATTCGCTTTGTGAAAATGGTTTCGGAAAAATGTTCGTCGCGGTCCGAAAAGATAAGCTTACTTTAAGTTCAACATCGCCGGGTATGCGAGGGACGCGCAGCGTCCATCTCGTCGGTGAACTTACTTCAGGGGGAGGAAGTGTGATTGTTGAGAATGATGACAAGTTTCAAAGATCGTCCTCCACACGAGCGACTCCAGCTCCTGTTCCGCTTCGGAGAAAATGCAGTGTTCCGCTGTTGCGACTTAAGCGCGTGGCTTTTTCGGGGAACAATTATATTATTTATTGACATATTTATAAATTTGAGATCTATTTGCGAGGGTTCAGGTAGGAGAACAGACTACACTGTGGGGTTCATTGTGAGTAATAATCATTGATTGTAAGGCAAAACCAGTGACACGTGGTTCATCACCAAGGTACGGTTCTTTCCGCTGAACTATCGGAAATCAACTCCTATGCCATCCCCAGACAATGGAACGATTTTTTTGTTGCAGTAAATTGTATACATTTTTGGCGACGGTCGCGCATGCACGCACGCAGGCGACGGGGAAGAGGTGATTTTTCAAAGGGTGTCGCCCCGAGCTATCAATGGTTTGGGGTTGGTCCAACAGACTGTGGCAGGATGCGCCGATACGGCGGAGCCTTCCATTCAACGCGGTCTTTTGTCGAAACCTATGTCACCGTCCCGAGTCACTGGCGGAACACTGACCAAAATCCACGGGCCCATTGTCCTGGGGATCTTCTCGGCGCCCACTGGTGTCAAAAGGCTTTGGAGGTTCTGACGGTGAACTGACAAAAAAAACCAAGCGGATGAGGATTCGGTATGACCGGTAGAGTTGAGGCAAAGTGGCGTCCAGAGGCATCCGTATCAACACTACAGGATAGCTGCAGGTCACTCGGAACCTGCAGACAGTACTTGAAATCTTTCATTCGGTCTCGGATAAACTTGGATCAAGAGCATTAGAATCTAAAACTGCCGAATCTCACGTTCCCAGAAATGCTTATCATGTTGACTTCGAGAAAAATGATAATACAAAGGAAATAAAGCAATGATCATAAAGCAGAAGGGTAAATTAAGTTAAGTTTGTTATTCTGTCTGATGAAGCGCAGGGCTTTTTTCCTGCAAATTTCGAATTTAAGACTCTAGGCCTACACCGTGTTTATCAAAGCTGCTTGGTATTTCACTTTTAAACAGTTAGGCTGATCTAATCGTTTCATGAAGGCTCAGCCTATTCCGTTGAACTGCAAAATAAGAAGGGAGACATATCTAGTTGAACCACAAGGAAAAGTCATCATTTCGTGTAGTTGATGCTTATTGTATAATGTCACCAATCTAATTGCTACATTCGAAAGCTTAGACTCAGTTCAAGCAGTTTATGGGCTGTCTGAAGTTGAAGTTTGAAACACGAAGTCTCGAAGATATTCGTTGGTATTGGGGATACGGATTTTTTTCTTAACTTGATCGTGTAACATTGGTTTAAAATCGATTAGAATACTGGATATATTGACAACTAATTTAGCACTGAAATTTAATGACGAACTTTTCAATTGATTTATCAACTAATTTATTATTAGCTAAAACTATTCTGTTATATGAAGAGAATTCATGTGCTGAAGAAACTAATTCTACCGTTCATGAAACACAGTCCCTTTTATCAAAATTTGATTTGCATGCTCGTGAGTGAGACGTTAGCTTTGTTCAGAAGATCCCCAAGTGTCAACTCGCTCGGTTTATCTTTTCAATGAGAAGCAACGCCCGCCCTCTTGCGGTTGTTTCTGCTTGTTCTAATAACTCACTGACGGCGCCATCATGTCGTCGTCGGTAATTTCACAGAGCGTTCACTACAAAACGACAATGGGAAGGATGCGACCTTAATGAGCCAGCAACTTAGTTAAACCCCGAGACATTTTTTTTATAAATGATTTTTTCTCAAGCACTCAACAACCACATCAAAGCTTTCAATTTAAAAGCAATTCAATAATACATTTTCTGTTTTTTTATGGTTGATTTTTCTTGGGTTATATATTTGCTTTTTAACCTGACTTTTGGACCAATATTAGTTTATCCAGTATCTAAGTTCTTTCAATTCTTACTTCATTATTGATATATCACAACAGTTTTAATGAACTAAAATAATTCAAAAATTAGAAAGTAAATGTAGTTATTAGTGGAGTAGTTTCTCCCGCCTACAAAAGGATCAGGATTTCATTCATTTATCTCCAACACCTTCTCTTTTGAAAAAAGTGGCCGTGCGAGCAATTTTTCCCACTTAAATGAATTATCACACGCATACATGTTTCATATTGTCATGGACGTGTTGTGTAGGTAATAAAAGGAACGAGTTTCAGTGTTCTACCATTCCAACAATTCAGTTAAAAAAAGCGATTGTACGAAGTTGAAGTTTCCTTATCAACAGTAAAAGCAGCAAAATAAAGGTAGAAGTTTGTAACTGTTAAAAATGAAAAATGATGTCAAGGCATCGTACCAAACCTGGCAAATAGAAAGAGACAGAGCGTACTGTCGAGCATTCTCCCAATTAGCCCCAGGGTCGAGATTCATTAGATTTTTTTGGAGGGAGTGGCTAATGGTTACGGAACATTTGGCACTGATTACATCTTAAAGTGATTTTCTTGGGATATTGTGGTTGCTCTTTCCACTTCGACGAAACTCTGTAGGGGCTCAATGATAGCGACCCTTACAGGCACGGTGGGAACGCCTCTGTTTTCCAACTCTTCTGCGGACGAATGGCGCCCTCTTAACTCGAACACATCGGCTTGTATGAGGGCGCTCTTCATCACCAACACTTTCCTGATCCTATAAAGATCCGCGAGTCGCGCGGCAATTTCCGCACAATGAGCTACCAATTCTACCGAAATACTTCGCTTGGAAACAGTCTACAGGAAAGTTTAGACGAGCTAATTCAGGTGAGCATCATATATAAACGTCCAAGTTCCATGTCACCTTTCAAATTATCTTCCAGTTTGAGGTTGGAAGGTTTATTTTCCTGGCCAAAAACTGGACGTCGCTTCGTGCCCGTAGGGCCCTACTCTTTTGTTTCTTATTTCGTTTCACATGTACCACGGGTCCTATTCCTAATCCTATGTTTTTATCGAAAGCATGTATTGCGAGTCGGGTGGGGGTGAGTTGTCCTCCATTTGATTGGGTTCGACTCGAAGAAGAAGGTGTACACTGGCCCCGACACACCTGCAACAGTGTATCCTGTTTGAGGAGTTTGCAGTACCAAGAAGAAATTTGATGGAGTGGGGGGTGGTATAAATTGGTGCTGGGAGGTCACTGATATCTCGGAATGATTAGGCCTGTATTAATTGCCTAGCTAACATGTAATTAGAAGGTTAATTCATCTCAACTATTGATCGATCCTGTAGAAGATTTTAGACTTTACTTTTTTCCAAAATCTCTTAAAGAGTTCTTTATGTGGACATCACTTGACAGCTGTCTGCACAAAGCCTGGTATAAAATGGTTTGAAAAATTGTATTTTCTAAGTGCTTTAATATTTTCCCAGCTGCATGTTAATTTGATTTTTTAGGAAATGTTATTGCTTTCTGGTACATGTAGTTGATATACCACTGGAGGGAAAAATCGGGGAAAGAATTCCATGTATGGATGCCGCTTGACGCCCTGTGCACAGACCCTATGAGCCTGTTAAAAAGTCTGTTTTCTAAAGTGAATACCTCAATATTTTCACTGCTTAGGACACTTTATTGCTTTCAGATGACTAATGCACGTAGCACACTGTAAGGAAAATTTAATGGCATCCAATGCCGTCCATATATTGAATTCTTGCCCAAATTGCTAAGAACCATGAGTTTGAAAGACAAATGATTGTTTGATGGCAGAAGGATTGATTGATAGTGCCACTAGATCAGCTGATGCCACAGCAATCATGCAAATCCACCAATAAGCTTCTTGCGGTAATGTGCACCATCTTGTGCATGGGGCAAAAAGAACATGCATTGTTGAGCACGCCCTTCCATCAAAGTGTTTGGCGCTTCTAAGTCAACCAGCATTCATTCTGGTATCTAGCAACGCCTGTTCTTTTTTGCCCTGTGGACAAGATGGTGCATAATACCGTCAAAATGCTTATTGTGCCAACATCCTCAACTCAAAATAGCGAACATCCGATGTTAAATTGTTTTCTTTGTTCTGCCTTTTTAAAACAGACTCAACAGATCTCCCCTAATCTTGCTCTGACCGTGCTTCTTAAGTTTGATCGCGCCATCAACGATGCGTTATCAAACAGATTACGCAACAAATTCTCATTCAAGGTGGGTTCCCCGAAAACAGAAAAAAAAAACCTCTTTAGAAACCAATTGTTGGAATTAGAAATTCACTCTGTGAATATTCTTCACCGCACATGCCTGTCATGTTTTGTTAGTGATGATGCCTGTCATGTTTTGTTAGTAATGGTGCCGTGCAGTAATCAGTTCCACCTAGTGTGGGACTGGATATCAGGCTGAACTATTCAGTGATTGGTTGAAATCTCTCTCATACTTTGAAATATAGCTTTGGTTTTTTTGCTGATCAGAAATGTAGTGCTCAGTATATTTTGGTAAATAAAATGTTGAGCCCTATTGTTCTGGAAGTAACATTCCATGCATAAGCATTTTGACTAGGAAAGCTAAGTTGTAGATGACATTTTTGTTTGGCTGTGTCGTTATAGGGTCACCTGAACACGTACCGTTTCTGTGACAATGTCTGGACCTTCGTGCTGAATGACGCCGAGTTTCGCAATGGCGACTCAATCACCGTGAAAAAAGTCAAGATCGTTGCTGTTGATGGCAAGAATTCTGCACCTGCTGACTAGGCAGTCTCCCTCTGGTGCAGGATGGTGTAATACTGGTTGGTCAGACTTAATGACAAGGAATCGACTGCTTGTTTCTCCTACATCATGTTCACTTCCGTGGTCCATACACGGGCTCATGTATTAAGTTTTGCTCACAGGGCGTTGTCTGATGAAGAATTTCTTCTGTAACGAGCAACAAACCTTTTGATCAGAACAAGACCCTCTTGTTTCTTACCCTATTTTTTTCTTGTTTGTAATTTGTTGTGTGGTGTATAAGGCTGCAGAAGAGTTAATGTAGCAAACATGTATGTAGTGTTAAACTTAATCTGTTGGAAATTATCTGTGCCATCAGTTAATACTGTTTGAATTCCGAGGTGCCGACCTGAACTTCACTTTGCCTAAATTCTGTTGTACGTTGTAAATCTGTCTGGAAATTTGTCTTTAGTCACAGCTGGACAATTACCTGGCATGAATGATGTTACAGAAACACTTGTTAAAGATTATTTAGCATGTAAACTTGACAAATTGGAATTCAGAAATTGTGAGCTGTAGGCCAGCATTACACTCCATTTGAATGTGGCTAGGGTAAACTTGAGACAGAAATGACATAGCCACAAAACAATCCCCGGGGGGTTTTGAGGTCCCCACAGCAACTATTTTGACTCGTCTTCAATCTCACCTGTAAGTAAAATGAGCCCAAATTTCCACCATTCCTTTATGCTGTGCCTTGCTGAGCAGCCAAGAAATCACAGAAACACTGAATTAATTCAGGATTTTAATTGGCTTTTATTTTTTTTGGGGGGGGGGAGAAGGAAAGGTGTAGTTTAGTTCTCCGTGAGGATTATGCCATATGCATGTTGCTATCTCCTCTGAATGGCTTAGTTGTGTTAACATTATCTACATGTACTTACTTTCATTTACAGCCAACTGTGCACAAGATTTTCCAGTAAGGAGGTTGTAGAAAAATAATGCTCTTATTGGGTGCAATCAGTCGATCTGCACGATTAGCGGATTGCTTTAAGTGATTGGTTAATTCTTCATGAAATCTCAAACTTGACCTCCCTTTTTTTGACACAGTCTTTCACAACTGTGAATAAGAAAAACAAGGCAATTGGTTGATGGCAGAATTGTCCACATATTATGCATTAAGATAAACTGATTGTGCAAAGACTGGGTGATCTTGCATATCGACTGGTTGCGCCCAACACTCTCATTTTGGTCAAAAAAGAACCAACCAGTAGATTAAGCCTTCCAAGTCATTCCTAAGAAATGTTGTAACTCAGTTTGGGAAGTACATGTTCACCAAGTTGAGGGTAACTCAGCATTTTCATTGGAAAGCCGGAGGGGAGGTTGCAGCTTGATTTGAAGTGGCCAAATACAGTCAGGAGTTCCGCATTTGTAATCCATTTGTCTGCATATCAAGCCTGTGATGGCGATCGGGTTCCTGAAATTGATCCCATTGGTCCCATTAATCAATCAAACTGAAGCACAGGTGCCTTGTTGGGGCTTGTGTGGGAGAGCTCATAGCAAGAGTTTCTGACAATCTTGGTGTCTTGATCAGTTGATGGCATTGGTAAAAAGAAAGTTGAAATGGTATTGAAAGTTCCAAGGAGCCCTTCAGCTCAAGTTCCCACAAGACCTTTTTCTATGACCCATTCCAGAAATGTTCACACTAGTTCTTATGTAATCTTAGTCAATTTTCACCCTGATCACACCCCCCCCCCCCGATGTGGTGATGCTTCAGTTTGATGGACTTTGAAAGACCTTTTCCATCATGATGTATGAAAAATATTTCACTAAATGTTGAGCAGTTGAACCTCATTAGAGCACTGTGCAAGCAACATTCTGCTTATAGCAAGGAAATGTCTAAGCCCCAGTCCTTTGTTTCCATTCCAGATAATACAAGGTCCCTGTGTAATACATGTATAAAAAGTCAAAAGGACCTCTTAATGAGACTGAACTGTACCCATCATTTAAAGCAAGATATAGGACGGAGAGAACCCCCCCGGCCTTTGTGTTGGTCATTGTTTGATCGGAATC